AGGTCGCCCTGGTCGACACAGTGAGTTCCAGGACAGCCAGAGCTATGTAGAGAGAGAGCCTGTCTCAAAGACAAATCAAAACAAACCCTTATTATGGCTTATGACTGCTTGCCTTAGGGTTCACGTGTGTGTTTTCTCTGAGGTACACCTGTGAGGGAATGGCTGCGTGTGTGTCAGGTAGGGCCCAACCATGAGTAGGAAGTATTTCCATCGGTGTTTTTTTCCACACTTGGTCATGAGAGGCTTTGCATTGGTCATGAACTTTGTGTCCTGGGGTCTGCATTCATGTGAACACAGGTAAATCTGAGGGTGCTTTACATGACTGTTGGGCTTCTATGTTTTCCTTTTCGCCAAATGCAATTCGCATCTTTAGTCCATATTTAACTCAACACCAAAGACCTTCGCATACTCCGGGTGCTGTTCACTCTTGGCAGTTCTGTGTTATAGATATTTCACGTTAGCTTCTGTTCTTAGCTTTTTGAAGAGCAGGAGTTCCTCACTTTAATATAAAGAGGACGCCCAATCTTTTGTATAAGCAGCACTTTCCATTTCTGTTTCTGAGATCACTAGAACAAAGTCCACAATATTATGAAGATTTTATGGTTATATTCCTTGAATCCTAATTTTGGCCTTTTGCTAATTTTTACCTCATCTGTAATAAACCTATTTTTTTTAAATAATAAGGCAACCAGTTTAACTGCTCTGATATTTTATAAATGTTTACTTTTATTTTTTTTTATGTGAGCACCTGTTGTCAAGATGTACAGAAATGAAAAGGTCCTTCAAGAGCTGTCTCCTAATTATGTTTAAAATATTGGAATTTCTATCCATGAACACTGTAGTGCGGGTGCTCGGGTGTGCACGCATACACACACATGCACACACCTCAATTTTTTTCAACTATGATGGCTTGATAATTTGTCTATAGTTATGAGTTACATCGCTGAGAGCTGGGCATGAAGCTTGGTTACATGCTTGCCCAGCGTTCATGTGAACCTGTGTTTCACTCCCTGCATCAGGGATGGAACTCTATGTATTTGTTGCTGTGATAAAAAGTAGTTTTGTTAGCTACCAGGTGGGTGCTGGGAATGGAACCCGGTCCTGAACAGCAGTAAGTGCTCTTAATGCTGGAGCTATTTCTCTAGCCCATTAGGGGTTTAAAAAGAAGTCACTCCTTTCTACTTCACCATTGATCTACAAAGAGGTAAGTGAACACTATTTCAACACTACGGCCAACTAACTCTTAGGTTATTTTGTTAATTTTAATGTGTGCATTCCTTTGAGCTTTCTGATTGTCTTGGTACTCTTATTAGTATACCTGACTCAGAATTTGTTTCTCCCATTCCAGAAGAATCATTTTATGCTGTCATTGATTGTCACTTTAAATGCTAACTGGAAGTGTGTAATACTGGCAAAGAGTCCTCTTGGGTCCAGAGAATATGTTCTTTGGGTTTCACTGTCTTTGGACACTCCAAAGACAGGAAGACTGAGGGAAGACTGTAGACTGATGGTTTTTCCAGGGCTTTGATTAAGGATGCGCCCTATCTGTATTTGTTTCCTAAGATTTTACAATGGAAATAAAAATGAATTTTCTTGAACATTTTCATTGTCTCCATTTAAATCACCACTCATTATTTTTCTTACTTTGTGTTAATGCACACTGCACTTTGAATGTCTGTGTCTTCCAAAGATAATGTTGAAAGTTTACTTCAAAAACAAGAATATTGGGGGAGCCACTAGGATGTGAGAGTCACACAGCACCTTCCCCCATAGGCAGTAACACCAACGCCTTCTCAGGTTGGGAAAGGGCTAGTCATCCCCACCCTTCGCTTTTCTGTCAGTTGACCTCACAGTGCTTGAGGTGCCTTCTTAGAAGCAAACGCTGGTTTTCTACAGTCACCAAACTTGCCTATATATGGCTTCCTAACCTCTAGGTCTATAAAGACTAACTTCTATGTTTTTTCTTTTTTTAAAGAAAAGAAGCAATGTTAAGGCAGTTTAACTGCTAAGTTGTATTTAGGATTTCACTGGCTTATAGATTTTACCTATAATTGTGTGGTTTTAATATTTAAGCTAGACTTGCCTCACAGAAATTAGACTCTCTCCAGTAAGGATTTGTCCTTAGCAAAATACTAAAATTGTACTTATTAAAAACTCCCAATGTGGAGGCAAGGATCTTTATCTCATGAGACATCTTGCCAGCCCCCAGGGCCAACTATCACGCCAATCTTACTTTATAGCATCATGAGGCTTGATAACTCTCTGTGTGAGGTTCTAGCTGCAACTTCTGACTTTTTCCCCTCCTTTCAAGTGCTTTTTCCCCTGGTTTCCTTTGATGGATCTCCTTCTTCCCTCAGTCTTCCAGTCTTTGGAGTGTCCAAAACCACAATCTTCACGTACACGCCTCCTTTTTCTATCTCAGTAATGACTGATGACTTTGACAGGCTTGTGCCTCCGTCCCCATGCCCTCACCCCTGCAGCAGCCCTTCCCGGAGTCTTTTTCCAAGCACATCTTTAACATAGTCCCTTGGACAGCTCAACACTAATCCATCTATGGTTGAACTCAACAGTCTCTTTCATCATTCTACCCATTATTACCTATGCTGTATTCGACGTCACTGCTGCCTTATTCAATATGAGCAACTTGAAGCTGGGAATGAATTTCATTCATCTTTTAAATCCCTTGTACCTAGCACACAGCTGCTATTCACTAACTATTGTATTTATCTGCTTGCCTTTGGGGGAAGATGAATAGATGAGTAAGTAAATGAGTAACCACGTATAAAATGGGATTTTTAAACAATTCACTTGCTGACACTTATGAGGTTTTAGTCTTGTTTCCGAATCCTGTTTATCACTGTGGATTAGCCAAAGCTATGCAAAGTCTGTAGTGAAACACACAAGGACACAGATGATTGTGTGCACTGCACCCAACCAACCACAGGGAGCTCATTTAGTGTCTAAAATAAAACAAAAGACATGGAGTTTTGTTTCTCTTTTATTGCAACCCATTGCAAGGTCAAAAGGTTCACAGAAATATAGAAACTACAAACTGGGTGAATTTTCTTGATCCACTCAAACGGACATTAAATACAAAGGGCCAGACTTTTCTACTACAGCAATATATTTCATAGGCTTTATTCTGAAAATACTGTTGACATTTGGAGAGGATAAAAAGCCCTGCATTAAATGTGTTCACATGTATTTATGACAGTCTAAGCAAAAAAAAAAAAAAAAGAAAAAAGAAAAAAAAAAAAGAAAAAAGAAAAAAAAAAAAGAAAAAAGAAAAAAAAAAAAGAAAAAAGAAAAAAAAAAAAGAAAAAAGAAAAAAAAAAAAGAAAAAAGAAAAAAAAAAAAGAAAAAAGAAAAAAAAGAAAGAAAGAAAAAGGAAATATATTGCCCAGAAAAAGTATTTTAAGCTCATTTCAAAGCGTCTAATGAGAGCACATTCAACAACCTCCACAGGCTCACTCGAGGTGATGCTTTTCTTGGCTGTTTTTAATGAGATTAATACTTTGAGGCTGGATATGATATTTCTACAGATTCCTATAAATGAACCAAAGCAGTGTTCTGGGTTCTGTTGCATCAGGCTTTCTGTATTAGTCAGCATCTTGGAGAGTTAAGTGCAGCCCCCCACCCCCAAGCTAAAGCGTGTTAGAGTGCAGGGCCTGAGGTTCAAAGAAGGTAACATTACAGAATCAATTCCACACTCTGAAACCACTGACAACTGTAACACTCCAAAGACTATTACAACTCTGAACAGAAATTTTACCATCTATAGCAAAGATGGCCTTCCCTTTTTTTTCTTTTTGTAACTATTTAAAATATAGTGTGACATATATAAAAATTAAAGTTTTGTTTATTCACTCAAGCTGCTTTTCCTATACATACAGTCTTATAAATTAGTTTTTTGGGTTAAAAATCAGTTAAAATATTATGAAATACCATTTTTTTCAGTACTGGAGAAATGGATATAAAATGATACAGTTCAATGTATAAGAGGAAACGTAGTTTTCTAATGGTAAACTGCTTGAGATCTTAGACAAATTTTATTCCCTTCAAATTAAACTTTCAACCTGTTTGGTTGTGAAAAAAATATTCCTGGTACTTGCTCATTATATCTATTTTGAACTGATTGGAATTAAAACAGAAGAAAAAGAGCCACACCCGAAGCATGTTGACACACTTGAAGGAGACAAATGTCTTCTACAGACAAGCAGTCAACATACATGTGTGGATACATTCAAACACGCAAGGCTGCTTTCTGCTTCTTACAGCTCCAATCACGTCTGCTGCATCGGAGTTTATAGGGAATAAAGTCAAACCTCATTATAATTGTTAAAGACCAAAGACCACATAAGGGGAGAATAAATAGCAAGTTCAAAAGTCAAGGTTTTGCTTCTCCAACTGGGAAAGATAATCACTCTTTAGCTTAAAAAGGCTCCCTGTGGTCTGATTATAGATCTAGACATAGGAGAGACTATTGGAGCCCAAGTCCCTACAAGGAATTAACTGTAAAGATGTCTGAAATCAAAACAGATACTCATTTTCTGATAGGTACTCAGATAACTAAATGTTGGTAATATTTAATTAAACTAAATACTTATTTCTGGCAAGTGTAAATGGATTTTCTAAATCTTTCCTTAATTCATACATTAGCTAACAGCAGACCTTTGCAGTAGTGTAAGAACTATTCAAAATTAAAACATGCACATATCCAAAAAACCTGTTCTAAATCCCAAAGCAAAAGAAAATATTCAATAGGAAGATTGTCTACTTACATCCCATTCATTAATCTTCTATTAATGTGACTACTGCACCTCAGAATATATTTTCATAATTACCAAAATAATGAAATGATCTGTAAAATTTTTTAAAATAACTGCATACCATTAATTTACATTCGTGGCTTCGATGTGGATAATGCTAAGTTTAGCCCCAAATGTCACTAAAATATACCCTGACCAGTAACTACCCACAAAGTAAAAGCTAACACAGTGTTAATGTAAAACCAACTAAAATATTTATTACTCAACAGAATGCATTTACAGAATAATGAATAATTAACTTTTGTGAGCTGGCCAGGGAACTTCAGATTGTTGCCTCCATATACAAATTTACAAAAGGCTTTATTTTCCCTAGTTCCTAAGTTACCCACGGGACAGCAAGTTGACCACCTGTGAGCACAGTGAGTCAGCCATTACCATCAGGGATGGGATGCTCCCTCCATGGCCTCCAGGAAGGTCCCTCTGTTAGGAAATAACTTATCAAGAAATTCACTTAGCACGCGTGCACAAGCATGAGGATACTTGAGAGTGGAACTGCAGATTTTGAAGGGTTCTCATCTCCAGGCTTCTAGTTAGAGCGACATCACTTCTCTTCCGGCCTCACTGGAAGTGAACAGTGTATTCCATCACAAAAGAAAGCCTTTTGCCCAGCATCTCCGAGATGTGGCAGAACTTGGAAGCTCAAAATACACCCAGTTTTCTGACTTGAGACTTCACAAAGTCTTTTTTTTAGAGAAATAAACTTTTGAATTAAAAAAAGGTTTTTGTGGTTTTCATAATTTTCCATTTTTAGGAAAACAAGCCAGCTCACCTGGGGACATAACAAGTGCACTTATGCTGTGCGCAGTATGCAAACAAGACACAAATATAACACGGGGACAGACACAGACAGGCGGTGGTTAAAACCTTCCCAAAAGTTTCCCTCTCCCAGCCACACACCCTCCTCCCATTTCTCTGCCCTGCTCAACGGCCTCAGGAGGCCCAGGCACGGGCAAGAGCGTTAGGAGGAGGCGGCAGACATATTGGGGGTCCAGCCCATCTGGTAGGCTCTCTCCAAGGTCCTCTTGCAGTCCTGCAGAACAGTGCTGAAAGTGATGTGGGGGTGCTGCTGTACCAGCTGCTCCACGGTCACTTCGTTGACCTGCGAATAAAGAAGAACCATCGTCACACAGAGGGCCACCAGCACCGGGCAGCCTGCCGGTGCGCACTAGGGTACTGTGGTGCCCTGTGGCGTGCAACGCCAACAAAGAACCCCAGTCTCTCCCTTTCCTTTCCACTTAGGACATATGCTAAGACACGTATGTATGTCTGGACACGTATGTATGTCTGGACACGTATGTTTTCCTTTAGTCTGACTCCTCTGATTTCCCAGGACTACATATGCTCCTATGGATTTTTTAATTAAGCATGGTGTCATGAAATCAAATGTACCCGCTCAACATAAATGACTGTGATTTGGCAAGACCTCAATAACGTCCATGGAAAATAGCAATCACGGGGCGGTGGCAGGAGGGGGGAGTAAGCATTCTTGTGTACCTTTGGCTTCCTCACCCACAGGAGAGCCTTTTTAGGATGAACACTTTACAGTGGGGGAAAGATATACAGGATTCTAGGTAGAAGTGCAAGGGAAAATGTTTATTTTTCTTCCCTTTAAATGTTAAGACATCGAAAACCTCAAGTCCCTTTGTGACAAGGGCTGAAATGTGAGGATCAATAATTAAAACATACATGGCTGGCAGGTCAGCGATGGCCCCAACAGACCTTCGCCATCACAGAATCCACCTTGATTCTTGATTAGACAAGGCGATCAGATAGGCCTAATTAAAGCTAACACCTTTACAGTTGCTGTGCCGTGAAGGGATTAATTTGTCAATGATTTTTAAGCTGATTGCAGTTCATATCACAGAAGTAGACAGCTTCCTTCATCCTTTAGATAAATAAATGATTAACCTAAGAACCGCAACTTATAGGTAGCTTTATTTAAAAATCTTTATTGAACACTTGGGCATTTTCGAATGCATCAATATTTCATTTGTGCTGTGTAAGCTATACTGAGTTAAGTCTGAAGGAAGGAATTTTTGGTAAACATTTCTGAGCATCCCTCTTGATGTTCATTATTGAGAATCATCACTACCATAAGCAAAAAAACAAAAAGCTGAACAACCCTGGAAGCCCTCAATGTTTGCCTTCAAAACCTGCTTAGAAGTACAATGATCAGGACTTTTGCTTGTCTGCACTTTTCTAAACAGGCGATTTGAAAGTCAGGGAGGCTGTTATCTTTGTTTAATACTGAGAATTGCTAGGATCACACTGTGCTGGGGACACTGAATCTTCACCAGAGGTGAAGGGTTTCAGACAGGCCCCTGCCATGTCCAGGCATCAAGCACAAGATGCCAACTCTTCTATTGGCTGGGATTATGGGCATGAACCACCATGCCCAGCTGTCAGGAAATTTCTCTAGCTGTGACGCACTTGTTCAAATCAATCCTGTTGTCTTTCTTTTCTTTTTTCTTCAATTTAGAATTGGATTCCTCCGCTATGAAAAGAAGATAAAGGGACTTGCAGTGTGGACTTGTTGCAAGGCTTAGATGTAATCTGATGCCTAGCACCATGACTGACATAAGGAGCCCCCTAAATGGTGGTGAGGTTATCGCAGTAGGTTCTCAATGGAGAGTTACTGAACGCAAGGGTTAACTAGGGATGTATGAGACAATCCTATCCCCGCAGTACCGACCGGCATCATTCACTTTCAGGAGCATCAGAAGTAACCCTCCATACTGGTGGTCACAGCGGCCTCAAGATAACAAGCACAGCAGAGGAATCTTTAGGGCACACTTCACAGACAGGAAGACTGTCCCACTTGGCCATCTCTAGAGCTAGGAGCCCAGCTCCTTCAATTGCGGACTGTGACCCCCAAAAGAGTTGGATAGCTGAATGGGAGAGTTTTAAAGTCTGACAGCAGGTGGTTTCTGGGCACCCAAGGGCTAAATATTGATTTAAAATTAAATGCTAATTGAATCAGAGACGTTTCCGCCAGCGTTTGTCCATATTGTGGGGTATGAGTTTACGGAGGCATGTGGACTTTATACTGTGTATGCCAAGCCACACAGCTCCATCGAGGAAGGCTGCCTGAGACACACGGTCTCACAGTCGAGACTGCTTTGCTAGGAGCTGCAGTATTTGTATTTACTTAGTTTTTCTTATAGCTACATAATGGTTTAATCACACTTTTTCTACCACCAACCCTTAGCATGCAAGTGTCAAATTAGTATATGTATTTGGAATGCATTGTGTAAGAAAGTTTGATTTTTAAAAACTGTTCTCTTGCCAGGCAGTGGTGGCATATACCTTTAATCCCAGGAGAGGCAGACAGATATCTCTGAGTTTGAGGCCAGTCTGGTCTACAAATCAAGTTCCAAGACAGGCTCCAGGCTACACAGAGAAACCCTGACTGGAACACCCCTCCCCCCAACGAAAAAATCCTGTTGTCTGAGTGTCATTAAAAATTTCATAAATGAATTTTGGTGTGGGATTAGGACAACCTACAATAATTTTACTGTTTTGAACTACAGATATATATGTATGTATCTATCATAGACAACCATAAAAACTAAGTCTTGGTCACTCCAAAACCCACTGAAGATACTCTGTGACTCACAGTAGCACACGCTCAGCCAAGACTGGATTCTTCTGCTAGCAAGTTCACCCCACCTCAGCAGAACTTGCTTTCATCTTTTAAAAAGCCTTAAAATTATTTGTATGCCAAAGTTTTTTTTTTTTTAAGATGGATTTCTCTGTGATCTCTGATCAGTAAATGTTTGATTTGTAGGCGTATTTTATTTATATATATGCTCCGCATGCTGAAAAGGGCTGGGAGTGGCCAGAGTTTAAGAAGGCCTTGCAGGCGCTGATCTGCGTCCAGGGACAGTGGTCCTCACTCACTTGGATGAAAGCAGGTCTCTCTAAGAGGGCACAGGAGCCATGAGAGTCAGAGAGAACACTGGGGAAAGGAAGGCAAGTCCACACAGGCCAAGCCACTTAGCAGGACGTAACTACTAACTGAAACAGACAAGAGAGGTGCGGCAGGGCACACTTACACTTCCTTTCTAACCCACACACAGTCAAGGACAGTTCTGTGCATCGGGCTGACGGGCAATTTCTTCTGGAGAATCAATATTTAAAAAGAAAAAAAAATACCAGTGTATAACTTCTCCAGAAAGATACATAATTCACCTTAAGCAAACTCGATGCACAGAGACATGGATTTATGAAGTATATAAATTAGGTATAATAATTTTTCACATTAGCAAAGCCTTTCATGGGAGGGTTAATTTATTTCATCAGCTCCCCTAATATGCTTCCTTTGATTTAACAGAATTCAATTTATCTATTTCTTTTGCATGAAGTAAGGTAAATCTGTATTAAAGAATAGAGATGATGTCATGGGAACTCTGACTTTCATAGAATATGGGTTAAGAACAAACAACAAGTTGGCCTTGTGTAGCTGCGTATGGAATGGCAATGGCAGTCTTCAGTAGACAATGCGTGTCTCCTAAGCACCCCCTGGGTTACTGTGTCCTGTAAATTCCGGAAACCAGAGTGAGGGAGAAGACGCAAACAGTCCATTTTAGACCTATGGGGACCTGTTATGCAGGAGGGTGTGGCGTATGCTCCCAACAGGGGAGGTTCTATTTTTGACTTACAATGTCACCTGGTGGTGCTAATACTAGATTTTATAGCCTGTTATGTTCACTGGCTCCTCAGAAGCTCACATGACCCTTACTTCTTTTTGTAGAGACTCTAGAAGTGCTGGTGCCACCGTGGAGCTTGAGCCTGGTGTGAGACACCAGGAGAAACCAAGTCATCTTCAATCTTAGGCCAACACATGCCTGCAGCCATTTTGTCATGTGCCACTCCACTTGCTAGGGTGAAGAAACATTCTCTAACTTATAAAATGCACGTAATGTAGGTGGGGGAAATAAAGGTATTTTAAACATAATCCCTCCTAACATCTTTCTTTAAAATTCAGTTAGTTTTTTTTTTTTTTTTTTTTTGTTTTTTTTTTTTTTTTTTTTTTGAAAACTCAATGGTAACTAATTTACTTCACATGAATTTGGAAAATGAAGTGCCTTCCTAAAGAAAAACCCAGAAACGTTATTTGAAGAAATTACTGTGATTAAAAGAAAAAAAAAATCATATGTCCCAGGTTTTCAAAAAAGTATACGAGAAAGATGAAATTTTATCATCCCCTCCCAAGACAGCATAACCGTGCTCTTCTGCATTTTCAAGATTATTGTAACTCTTTTTAAGGTAGTACAATTTGTCTGGTATTTTAATCTATTTTGAGTTAACATCTATTAGCACTTTTTGAAAATGGGAGGCAATTTGCTATGCTAATTAAGGTAAATCATGCAGTTGCTGCTAAAGAGGAATGGGGAGAGAGCCGCAGAGTTCTCGAGATGCAGTTTAAGCAACCCCCCAGTGCCCTCCCATCTGAACGAGTCCTCTTCAACACCATCAACGGGACGTTCCTCATAACTACAAACCTAGGCTAGAATTCAACTCTTCCAAAAAACATACGCTCTGATACAACATGCTGAAGAAACCAGAAACACTGAGTGGTCTTCCTTCCCCCATCACCACAGGGAATGCTTACTGGAGGCAAGAAACATGCTCGCGGAATGCATAAGTCAACAAGAAGAAACTACTCCAAATGATTTGTTAATTTTTTTTCCCATGTGTGGTGCATGCATGTGATGGTGCAAACACATGTGCGTGCATGAGGGCCACATGTGGAGGCCAGCGGGGACACTGTGTGCCTTCCCCTATCTCTCACAGCCTGTTCCCTTGACACAAGGTTTCTCCCTGACCAGGAGGTTGCCATGTTGGCCAGCTGGCTGGCCAACAAGCTCCAGGTACCCACTCTTCTCTGTCCCTAACCCTGGGTTAAGACATGTGCAACCCTGGATGCTGGTGATTTGAACTCATGTCTTCATGCTTGCAGGAGTATCTCTTTTATCACTTCACTGATCCATCTGCCTCTCCAGCCTAAGGCGGTCTTCTCTTTGACTGAGAATGTTTGGGTCCATTCGAGATAGTGATGATAGCATTTGTTACATTAGGCGCAGACTGTAAGCTCCC